TTGAGCTTAGTTTAGTTAGACTGGGTTATACTCTTCACTTGTATCTGCTTATTGTCTGCTGACATGGTTTTGTTCCTGCACATGATGTATTGATCTTTCTTTTTATAGGCCAGTTGTTTGGGTGGTAACTAGTGAAGTATTCCCTCTCTCTGTTAGAGGTTAGCTGATACTGATATTGATTTGATTTAATGCACGTATTCCTTGACGTCTTCTCTCTCTCTCCCCCTCTCTCCCCCCTCCCTCTCTCTCTTCAGGTGTTGCTGTTTCAGTCACTACTTCTGGTAACTGGATTGGGAACTTTGTGGTTGCTATGGTAACCCCATTACTTCTCGGTTCTGTACTAAAGACGGCCGGTACATTCTACATACTGGCAGGGTTTCTCTTTGCCTCATTTTTATTTGTGTTGCTAACACTTCCTGAAACAAAAGGAGAGAGTTTAGAGAGAATTGATGAATTGTTTCTGAGGCCATGGCTACAGAGGATTAACCTATTCTACTACTTGAGGTACATGTACATGTATACACAGCCTGTTTGTTTAAATGTTGATTACACTTATACTGTACTTCTTTACACCTCTTTTCAAGTCTGTTGTCCATCTAAATACGCATGCGTGGTTGTTATCCATTCATTTTAATGCATATGTGCATGTGCAGTATGCTAAACTAGCTTTTGAAGGGGACAACGAACCAGAAAAGGCGGATTTACAATATTACGCTAGTCCTGACGTTACGTTGACGCTGGAATAGAATCTGGTTCTATTCCAGCCGAAAGCATGCATCAAAAGGTCAAATCGCCCACGTTTTTGATTAAAAATTGACGGTACGCTGGCCTAATGTCATATTGTAAATCCGCCTTAAGAAGCTTTACATTATTGTGTTTACACAAAATAGACAAATAGAAGCATTACAAGTACTTGTACATGTAGCTGGACTGATTTTGGGGTGGTGTATTAAAAATGTGCATGTCTGTGTAAATGCATACTGAAATTTATAGGATCTACATGTAATATCTCAATAAAAACAATTCTTAACCTTTATTCTCTGATAGGTGTTGTTGTCCGTGGTCTAATGCTTGTAGGGTAAGGACTGTACAAGAAGAGGACACTGTAGCCATTGTTGGTATAAAGAATGAGAACAAAGATGATACGAGTGATGAGGCTGAAGATGAGTGAGTCTTTAATCATATACCCTCTCTTTCTCTTCCTCCTCCCTGACTTCCTCCCTTCTCTCTGTCTCCCCCTCCCCTCTCTTTTTCAATCCCAATATTCTTAATCATGTACATGTACTGTTCTTTCTCTCTTCTCTTTACAGTGAAAATGAGTCACTGATAAAAGATACCAGATGTTCTTGAGTCTAGTCTTTCAACTAAATTTGACAAATAATGGATCAAGCAACCTTTGTATCATTTCGTGTACTAATAGCATTAATTGTTAGATGATGCAGACAGATTTTATTTTTGCTATTATTTTTAAAAATTTATGCATGCAGCAGGTTGTACAATGTAACACATTAATAGAACTATAAATGATGTGGGCAAGGCATATAAATCTAATAGCCAGTTAGATACACATGTGCTCTTAAGCTTGAGGAATAAGTTTGTTATGATTATGTTTGCTCTTGAATAATAATGGATGGTATTATACTATACTGCAGAGATAATGAATACATAGCATATGTAGACTATAAGGTAAAAACCTAGTCTTGCCAATGTCACACAAGACATACATAGATTTATGTGTGCTCTTGGAGTCCAAGCCTGAACTGCATGGTGCAGTTCAGACCAATACTGATCTATGCTGTTCAGGCAGAGATGATACATTGTTGACCAGTAAACAAATGACGAACAAACCATGCAATAAATAATACACCAATACAGAGATAAAACTTATACAATATGGTATTCATACAAATAAGTCTAAGTATTATGATACAAGTGGCACTGAGTCACACAACACAGTCTTTGGGTACTTTACAATAATTCACCACAACCTAATAAAAAAACTTGATACAATAACTACCTCAGTAAAATTAATTTCATTAACCATTTCTTCTTTTTTGTAAAAGTAACTTGTTCCCACTTCTTGCTCAGGCTCCACCAAAAAGTAACGATCATTTTCGTCATTCTTGTACCAGATGATTCTATCACCAGCAA